AGATCAGTATATAGGCGTTACTTTCTTTGGAGACCTGAAATTGGAAAAATTTCAAAAATGTCCGAGTTATGGGCAGTTGGCGGGAAGTGGGCAGAGTGGCAAGAGCGTTTATTGGTCAGAACTCAAAATTGATAAGACCTGAAATTAATTAAAGGACGTGAAAATTACTGATCGGATGGTTGATTTGATTATTTGATTTTTTCACCATTTTAGGTTATTTTTGAAATTGGTTTTTTTTCTTTTTGGAATTTCTTCGGGTCACTGATTATCATCTCAGGTTTGAGGCCGTTTTTTTTGGAAGCAAAAATTATTTAAAGCGTTATTTTTCTGACTTTTTCCGGATTATCGGTTTTCCAGTGGAGTGTGGCCACGGCTGACACGATGATCACGGCCACAGTGCCCGTACTGTCCCATCCGGTCGCTTGTGAGCCGTACATGAATGCCATCGAGAGTGCGAGTAGCATTGCGGTACGGGTAAAGTGGTAGTTGGGTTGGTTGATGGATGGGAAGTATCGCAGCATAAAACCTGAACTGTTTTTAGGGTGGTAGTTTCGTGAAATATTATTAATATTGTACTAGTATTATATTGTACTAATATTGTACTAGTATTATATTGTAGTAATATTGTACTAGTATTATATTGTTAATATTGTTACTTGGACGTCGAGTGGTTGTTTTGTGAATAATTGATGTGAGCGATCGGCGGAATATTTATTTTGTAGAGTAATGATTATTTGTTGGATTGATGGTATTTGGCTACTTAGATTAATTAAGCAAAGTATTCACGGCGACTAATTAATTACTCGGTTGTGTTCGTTCGGTTGGCCTGCTCGCCAGCTAGCCAGCCGGGTGACGGCGTTAATTGAGGCTAAAACAATGCGCCGCACGGAAACATTGCGAGCATTGCGGCCAGCAACGTTAGTTACAAATGTTTGATGACAGCCGCCTGCTTGCCAATCCAGGTAATTTTCATGAAATGAGCGAGAAAAAGTTCCGCACAGAAATTTTGATTTTTTTCAGAATGTTTTTGAGAATGCTAAGTGCACAAGAGACTCTATAAATCTGAAATTAAAGAAGTACCACAACTTACCACTAAATAAGCCCAACGCAATACCCGTAGCGATTTGAGCGAAAATCAGAGCGATTTGCGTGTATAAACCGTCTGAAAAGATAGAATATTTATTGTTGTAGTAGTAGTAATTGTAGTTACTTTAATGATTACCTAGAGAAGTTTTATTGGTTGATGGCCCAGAAAATTACCGAAATTGTTGATTACCCGAAAAACTTACCCGAATTTTTGTGCAAACCTGAAAAATTACGCAAATTTTTTTGGTTCACCCAGATTTCGGTTACCCATAAATTAAAAAAATAATAAATTTACAATTAAACATTAAAGGCGATCATTAAATTGAGTAAGTGAGTGAAGTGAATTTTTGGAAAAGTCTTGTTAGAGTGAGGCATGTTGTATCTTTTGGAAATCCGTCTGAAGTTCAGAAATTAAAATTTCCCATCCTGAAATTGAATTTTCCATCCTGAAATTGAAATTTTGGAATTTTTGGGTAAAAACCCTGAAAAATTTACCTCCATTGAAGAGTAGTTCCAAGAGGACGCTGAAGGGTGTCACCAGAACGATGTTATCGACAGCCGCACACACCAGCAGCACGGTGGGCACTCCGTCTGGAACGCCGAATCCCTTTTTATTGAGTACCAATACTGCCGGTATGCTGACTGCAGGCGAGGTGGCCGCCAGTATTATCCTGAAAATTTGCTATCCTGAAATGAAAATTTCGAAAAAAACCCCTTTAAAAAGATTTTTTAGAATTTGATTCGAATGATTTGGTCAATTTTTGGGGGTAATTTGTTGAATAATTTGCTAATTTTAGGTTAAATTTTTATAATATGGAGTCAAATTTTCAGAATTTCAGGTCGAATTTGCACAATTTTAGGTCAAATTCTGTCCGCTGAACTGGGGAGAGTACTTTGTATCCCTAAATACTTTGAAGGCGGGTGGAAAAGAAGAGGAAAGGAATTAGCAAAAGAGGATTGCCACGAGCCGGGATCGAACCGGCGACCTTTAGATCTTCAGTCTAACGCTCTCCCGACTGAGCTATCATGGCACACTGCGACGGCACTAACCCGAACGTCAAAGCCATTTTAATGCCCATATCGAACAGAAAACAGCAAGCACACGCAATGCCGGCAGCCTCGACAAGTGGTGCAAGCACACCAATTCGAAGGATAACATTCTGAAAATGGTAAAAAATTAACCTTAACCCAAAAAAACCGCCGCCGTCCCTAGCGCAATTCGAATTGAAAATGGTAAAATTCAACCAAAAAAAACCAAAACGCGCGCAATTTTGTGGTTATTAATGGACAGGTGCGTGGCTATGGCCGGCTGCATGAAGTGATTCTGTGGTTACGATGCTGTCTGCTAGAGCTATGATGGTTTGTTAGAGATCCGAGACCTTAGGATCTGGTATCTGTTTATCTGACCACTTGGTGGTGACCGATGGAGAGGTTTTGGGGGAATTTTTCATTTTTATGGAATGGAAAACTGGAAAATTTTTTGGAAGTGGAAAATTTTCAGTGGNCTCACACGCATTCGCCGTAAAGCGTTTGCTTCCAGTCCAATCCCACCACGAATCAAGATCACAATGAATGCGAGCTTCCGGAAGAAATTATTCAAGGTGGCATCCACAAAAATGCGTTCGTGCAGAAATGTGATGTTCCGGAAGGCCAATCCGGTCAATAGAATTCCTGAAAATCGCCACACATGGCCATCGGAGCTTCGAGCTTCCGGAAATTTCCAAATTTTCCGGTAATTTTCACATTTTCGGTAATTTCCACATTTTTCACATGAAAAAATATTTTTTCGTGAGGAATTTCATGAGGTGTTACTGTATCTTCGATATTTTTTAGTCTGTACATGTGTACTTTGCTCTCGGTTACGTCTCATGTGTGCATTCGGATGCATAAGCC